AGGAATAACCTTGTTCCTTTGAGTTTGGAGCGTAAAGCTCAGCATTCTCTGAAGAACCAGTAACACAGTAAGGCATCTGCTAACAACTTTATAAATGCGGAGATAAAATGCCTGGCTCTCACTGTCTGCATTCTGGCAAGCTGCAGAATGGGAAATATTTTTAACCGCGTAAGTAGCATCTTAGTTTTTGGAAAGACTGTAAAGTTTAAAGTTTTTGTATGCTAGGTGTTATATAAATCTGGTTCAGAAAGGATGGTCAGATTGAAATACTTTATTATGAAACATTCATGTAAAAAATGGTCACCAACAGAGAAATATTCCGTGACATCAATGTTGATGTAAGTTACTATAATAAATTAATGTTCAATTGTCAACCACAAACATGTATAGATAAAATTCTGTGAACTATATTGGTCAAGCAGATTATCTTTTTGGGTTATAACCATGTTTCAACAGTAAGTCATTAGCATGTCCTATTGGCCTTTGTGCCTGGAATTTGTATTAATTCTTTGTGAAAAGTATGCAAGAAAGAAAAGTGACGATATAACTAACCATAATGTGTTTTGTGGATGTTCCTTATATCCAGAAACACTGGTGTTGAATTTGTGGTGTTCTGGGAAGGTAGGGCAATGACTGAAACACAGACATACAAAACTAAACGGGGCCATTGGCCATTCTGATAGGAAATTTTTACAGCCCATAGTAGTGTCTTTATAATCTTCAATCTATATTCATCTATATTCAAACCACTTACAGGGAGGCTAGAGCCTATCCTAGACGACATAAAACACAAAGCAGAAGAAGACCCTGGACATGCAAGTCTGTCACAGGGTGCACACACACACACACGCACGCACACACACACACACACACAATTACAGGAGAATTTAGAGAAACCATTTCCTTTAATTGCACGTCTTTATCCTGCAGGAGGAAACCATAGTCTTTCTATTTTTGAAATCAACAAATGATGCTAACGATTTCACATAAAATTGCTATTAGTAATGATGTGTGATCAATGGAGGTAAAGAGCTAATGGGGTTGTGGTCTATTCACATTTCCACGTGTCTGGTTATTGATAACTTGAGACAGTTGATAGCTTTTACATTCCAGAACTTCATAAGATATGCAGTCATTTCTGTGAAGACCGTTCTTCATTTAAAAATGAGAAAAGATATTTTGGATGGATATATTCAAATTTCCGTGTTACTGTGCTCAAAAGGTGGAACGTTTACATTCAGAGAGTACAAATCCAGGCAAGAATCTTGTTTCAACCAATCAGTTGAGTATAAAGAATCACATTTACCAAGTACTCAACTGGTTGGCTGATACAAAATCTTGGTCTGGATTTGTACTCTCTGAACCTACTTCCTGAAACTGAAATTCCCACCTCTGCTATGCTCTGAAACAGTACAAATAACAATATACTCAACTAGGGACCTTTTTAATGTCAGAAATATCTGTTGCAAAATCTTTTTGAAAATCATGAAAAAACATTCATACTTAAGACTTAAACAGAACACTCTGATTACACTTATGCATTTTGGTAACATTCCAGAATAGGCTCTTTAAAAATGGAAGAAAATCTTTTTTTTTTCTTTTTTTTTTAAATACATGCTAGCAAATTTTTTCAAACGGCATACGATATGTGACATTTCACTGTTTCGCCTCAGTCAGACTCGCACGTTAAGTGGCACCGTGGGAATAGGATGACCTTGTGCAATAAGATGTTTTGATGCAGGAAGTGGCATGTGCTGCCATACCTCAAAGGCACGTCTGTTCATCTGCTGGGCCTCTGTAAAGCAGCACTGAGTCAGAAGGCCTTCAAAGTAAAGAAAGAAATAAACAATAAAAGAGCAAAGCACAGGAGTCCCAATCTTGTGGGCGCCACGATTGTGGGGATCAACCGCTGCGGCTCCTTGACGAGGAAGTCTGCATTGTTCTCTGTCTTTATCAGGCTTCACCCCAAGGGCAGCATTTAGATGATTATTTTTCAAAACTAAGTACCTCACCATGGAGACACACCAGAGAACTGGAGTTTAAAAACAAAACCAGTTATAAAAAGACACAACTTCATTACATATCCCCTTTATAAAACAATTACTTGGCCATAACTTGATATTTGTGCTATTTTTACATGCTTAATATATTACCTGACTTGTTTTTGTGGAGATAATCACATACCTGAGCACTTACTTTAGAGCTTATTTCAAAAATAGATATTATTGCCAGGACTCCCTTTGGGATGGTAATGTGTTGTCATTTATAGAAAATCCATCTACACAATTCCTCACTGCTGAGGCAGAAGTTAACACATGTTGGGGGGCAACAAACAAAAGCAGTCATTTTTGGCATTATGTAAATGAAAGTTAAGTACTAAATTATTGGGGGGGGGGCATTGCTTTCTCGGTTTAATTTCACAAACTTATTGTTTGTTTTTGTTTAATTTTTAATTTAGTTTATGGATAAAGAGAAATCAAACTCAAGTTTGGCAAAGGACGTTTCAGGTATCTCTTACAAAGCTAAGTGATGGCTAAAGGCCATTATATATATATATATACACACACACACACCCACATACACACACACAGTGGGCTATTTAGAGACCAATTACACAAATTGCATGTTTTTTGACTGCTTGACAAACCTGTGCAGTATGGAGAGAATGTTGTGCCAAAGAGAGTAACTCTCACTATTCTCTAATTTGTCTGAAACACCTCGTTGGAATTTCAGCCTGTGACATGGTGAGGTCATCTCATAACACAATCCTTGTTGGCCACTTAGCTGCAAGTATCTGTCTGCAGACTGCAAAACAGGGAAGGAACATGTAGGGCAAGCTGACCAATCAGGCATGCTGGCCAATCAGAATACACTGGGCTCATCAGGGGTGGGACTTAAAGCTCTAACAGAGCATTTCAGACAGTCATTCACGTAGAATTCTAGAATGTAGTAGATCCCAAAATGAAAATTGTGAACATTGAAAATGAGCATAATAGGGTACTTTTGACATAACTTGCATAACCACATTTTGACTTGCTGGAGAGGATGTACATGTTCATATTAATGATTCGAACCTATCTGATTTCAGTAGACTGAGATGTTCTCTTATTAGCTCTTTACCTATAATTGTCTATTATTATTTGCATTTATATGTGTCTGTCATAACTACTGGTGGTCAAGTCAACGTGTTATCTAGGGTTTACGCTCGCAAACAGTTCTCCGATCGTGATTTTACCAAAGCTAAAGCTATGAGCTCTAAAGTGATTCAGCTATTTTATGTATAACATCATACAACACAGTTAGAATCACAGCATCGTTGAGTATCTGAATTAATGGCATGGAAGTGATAGAGTGACGGTTCACAGACGTCACGATGAAAAGTGCCAGCCTTGGCAGAAGCACACTGACTTTGTGCAAACTTTGAAAGTAAACAGGAGGGGGGGCTTACGCTTGGCGTGATTCTGTACAAATGTGTCGGAACCCCATGGCTCAATCAGTGTCTGCTGGGTTCAGCTCGGTTTTGCTTCCTCCTCTGTCTTTCTGCTGCCCTCGTTAATCGGCGGGGACACACTGTTCTCCTTAAAGCATTTCCTGCCTGGTGATGCATCTTTCAACCTTACATCCGCACATGCCCGGCAAACACGCCCCCTTATTCCCCACGCTGCCCGCACACCCTCCCTGTGTGACAGCAGGAACAGGCCAGTCATCCTGTGCGGACTCTCTTTTTGAGGTATGCTTTATGATTCTGTTTGAACGTAAGTAACAATAGCAAAAGGTCACAAGGTCATCACGGGTGACTAAGGTATCATGCTGAGCAGTAACTGTTGACCGTGCATCATGCACTCATTATCTTGGTAATACGCAAAACTGACTGCGCCAATTGAAAATAATGTTTACAATAATAATTTTTAAATTTTAATAATGTAATATATAATAATGTAAAGTTCACAGACAATATCAGTTTCCCTTGATATTACGTAAGAAAAAAACATTTAATGAATCAAGCTAATTAGAAAATAAAAATAAATAATGAAATTTTGCTATTACATTAAGGGCAGCATCCTGAAAGTCTGGCTCCCTCATCCTCTGTCATCTCAGCCTCTCCATTATCGACACTCGCAAACAAACACACATGCCAGCATCAGAGTAGGGGAAAGCTGGAGGAGGAAAGGAAGGAAAAGAGGAGCGACCCTGCGGGCTGGGGGTGTGGGGGAGGAGGGATATGACGGCCTGCATCCTCCAAGGCTGCAAGGTCAGGATGGGTGTGACATCACTTCCCTCAGCACAGGAACCAGTTGTTACCGGGGAGGCTATGAGTGGATAGCATAGACATTAGTAGAGGATACACAGAAGCTGATACAGGACATTTGTTCCCCTTAGAGCAGACTGGTTGTTTTAATGGATGCAAATACAATGACGCTGGCTATAAGCATCCAGTAAGCCCCCATAATTATGTAACACAATCTTTTTAAAAGTCTAGATCAGTTCAGTTAATGCATTTTTTAGATTACGTACTTTTTTTGGTGATTTGGTGTAAACTGCCACTTACCAAACATATGTCAATATATTACTCGTGGGAGTTTTACTTACACAAAAATTTTCTTAGGGCAGAATGAAAAATGATTCCAATTTGATTTTAGAGGAGGTAGGTCCAAGCAATGGAACCGAGACACCTGATTGGTTAGTCCTACTTCCTCTAGTTGCTTGGTCCCGCCTCCTCTACAATCTGATTGGTTATCTCTCTGTCACTTTTAATTCTGCCCTCAGGATATTTTTCTGTGAAACTCCCATAAGCCAATATGTAGACGTAGATATAATACAAATAAAAAGTGGTATGTTTTTAAAAAATTTGACCAATGTGTTTGTAATGCATCTCGGGGTGTGACTGTGTGTGCGTGTGCACCCTCCCATGGGAGCAGATGTGCACGTGTATCTCTGTGCTTGTGTTTCAGCAGAGATAAGGCTGTTTTCTCACAGGGCAGCGCCGTAGTGACATCAGCATGTTTCAGTGGCCCTGTGCGCCTCAGTGGAGGAGTAGCGATACGGGAAAGATCTGGACTTGCATGTGAAATGAGTGTTAACAAGATGGACGCTGTTCCTCGCAGGCCCAATCCAGCCCTCTGCCATCTGTCAGATGTCTACGTGCTTTGGGGGAAACTATTTGGAAAACTTTCAGAAGACCTACACAGTCTGTTTATATCTTTGGTGGGACGATAGTGACAGACTATCAGCTTGCCTCCGCCGGTCTGTTTTGTCAGGACTGAAGGGCATTTTATAGGAGTACTCACTGGCATAGAGACACAGTAAGTCACACATGTGCATGCGGTTGCATTTAGCGGAAAACTGGGCCGGTTTCCTGCGTGGCAGGATGCAGGTGCCGGCAATCGGCGCCATCGAACGGTCGCCCCTAATGTTCTCAATCTGTTCACGGCCCTGGAAAGTGGTCTAATCTTTTGGCACGATTCCCGCATAATCCTCCAGTAATCCTGTGATAGAAGAGGGCAAGAGAAAAAGCAGCATTTTCATCACCAAAATGGAACACTTGCACGGGAGACAAATACGTGGCTCTGGATTGGCAACGCGGGTCTCTCAGTGTCCATGCCTGAAGCATGCTTCTCTCCTTGGGTCCTGAAGGGCACTGGCCATGTTGGTGGACGGTCTGGAGGTGAGTCAGGCTGCCAGCCTGCATACGGGGCACGTCACAGCACTTCTGGCTTACATTTATTCTCACGCTGTGTGTGAAATGGCATTAAAGTGGCGTTTTTGAGCCTCACTGCATAGGACAGTCTTACAGTATCCTTATTTATGTGGCTTACAGCACTGTTTCTCAATTGGTGGGTCACGAGAAATTATTTTGAACATTTGTTATAATGTCTGACTTTTTTGTTGTTTTTTAACAGTGCATGAAGGCATTGTGCTGCTGTTACTGCACTATGTTCTATGTAGTACTATTGCACTTCTGATTTTTGTTAAAAAAAAATATTTTGAAAATTTTGGTCGTTACTTAATGACCAAGGGAACCACTGGCTTATAGTACTCTCTCCCCTCCATACATCCATTCATCTTTTATAACTTCTTTTGCCAGTGTTTCCCAACCCAGTTCTTGGGGATCCTCAAACAGTGGGGGGAGCAAAAATGTGTGCATTTTGGCGGGGAGCTGGGAGGGAGCAAAAGCGTGGACCGTCTGTGTGTCCCCGAGGACCGGGTTGGGAAACACTGTCTTATGCAGTGCAGGTTTGGGTTGCAGCCCAGTGCCTGTCCCAGGAAGGACAGTGTCCATACACAGATACACTACGGCCAGTTTTTAGAGAAGCAATTATTTATTTTGTTTTTCTAATGACCTAATTGTTCATCCTGGAGTTGATTTTCAAGGTTATTTATTGTCATCAGCAGCTTCATACATGCAAAAAGTGTGATGAAACAATGTTTCTCCATGGCCCCGGTGCAACATATAGTAACATACAGTTACTACATAACATCATAGTAACAGGGCATGCAAGGTGCAAACAGGCAGTAAATAAACAGTGCAGAGATAATAAATAGAGCAGAGATGTAAACTTCGTATGATTTGTGCAGCTGCACAAGGCAGTTGGGAGGATTTACCCCAACATACTTCACTACAAAGTGCAGTAACAGAATCAAAAACAATACAATACAAACAATAATAGACAAGATGATAAACAGACAGCACACAGTTCCAATTTGTAACAGTGGAGGGACGTAAACCATAATGGCTGGTGTTGCACATTTTAATGTCTCCTTAGCTTCTTTTGTCATGGATGGGAGACACTATGAAGGTTTTTTTTAGCAGATAGCCACTACTAGGGGTGAGTTTTCTCCCTCAGCTATGCCTCCAGACCGGAGTCCTCTCCCACCACCAAACAGGCGCCACACTGCCCCCCCGCCCCCCCCTTGTGTCCCAGTGTGAGATAAGGAAGAGGATAGGCTAGTGATCTGCTCAGCCACAGCAGGAATTTCAGAGGATTATGGCAGCAAAGGTTCTTTGTTCTTGTGATCTTTATTGTCAGCCATATGCAAATGAGGTTCAAATGGCAGAAGTTTCTAGATCCCTGTAAGAGTAGCATACAGGGAATCCACAGGGCCTCTAAAATAACCAAAAATGTCAAGATTACTTAGTTGCGAAGTGAAATATAGTTTTGAACATATACCTTCCAAATTTCTCTGGCAAAAACGTGGATAAAAAACTTTGTTGTGAGTCTTTACCAAGCTGCTAATTTATTGCAGTAAACTGAACATTTATGTCTCTAAACTTTAGCGTAGGCTTTGTTTGCGGGTGGAGCACAAAAGAGAAAACAGGTAGTCTATTTTGGACAGTCCGCTGTGTCATGTGATGATACTTCATTTTGTACATGTCATTATGTTCAGTTTAATGCGTAAATAACACGAGAGGAGCTGAGGTTAAGTGTGTTCCTCCTGAGTACGAGTGTACAAGTACCAACCCGCAATTTCTAATGGTAATTCCAGTTCCCTTCCCACAAGTTCACCCCACAGCCCTCATCCATGACATCACTGATCATAATGGAGCCTTGTTCTGCCAGCAGTGATTCATGGAATTTTGCTAAAATGTGTGGTATGAAACAACTAGAAGCTAGACACAAATATGTCCTTTCTGACTGTTCCCATGGAGTCTGCTGAGCCCCAGTCTAGAATCTTTGAGTACAAATGAGTGGAGTTTTGTCCCTTAGTAGTTGGCAAGTATGTTATGCAATACCGAGAGTAAACAGCAATGCCTGCTATGAAATGTGAGTAACTATATCTAAAAAAAATAACAGACCATGAAGACTTAAGTCCTTTTTCTGTTTGGTGTATATAGTGATTTAACCTTCTCAAACAGCCCTGTGATCAATCAGTCCACACAATGTCTATTTGCTTCGTGACATTTTCGCAAGCAGTGTTTTCCAAATTATTCGACTAATATGATTAATGAAAAAAAAAGTTATATTACAAATATCACTGTCAGACCCAATATAAATTTGACATCCATCCCTGCATGCATTTTCCATAACCACTTCCCAGTGCAGCGTTGTAACACATAGGCCTATTACACGTCATGAAGACTATGACACTCATCCTGTTTATTTTGTAGGGTGTAATATTTCTGTTACCATGATGTAAAAGAGTGTCATGCTTGCTATGTTCATCCATCTTAGAGTAGCCTTGCTTATCGTTTGTGTGGGTTAAAGTGCTCCTATAGTTAATTATGTCACGTTATCCATGAGGGACTACCAGACCATAGGAAAATAGATAAAAGATTCTGCATAAATTTGGATGTAATATTAAACTTGAAGTTCTGTCAGAGTATGTGAAATACAATATGGGTGTATTGTTACCATCCCAGGGGTAGACTCTCTGACACTCTGCCAGAGGTTTTTACGTGTAAAAACGAAGTAGTTCGTGGTGTGTTAACAAGCTGGCTTGATGTCCGAGTGAAAACTACTGACATATGATCCTGTAACCTTTCTCTAGCTGTTGCTTTCAGGTTGCCAAATCCAAAAAAAAAAAACCAGATCCTTGTTTGGTTCATATTTCGGTCACTTAGCCATTTCAGTGACATCTCGAAGATTTTGTTACATGAAGAACAATCGTGGGTGAAACCCGACTGATAAAACGGTATTTTAGTAGATAAAATACTTCCCGATTTTTCAAATCAGCAGATAGACAGTGAGAACAATAGAAAGTTGTTATTCGAATGCGTTAAACTTCTTGTTGTCTCCCGATAACAATGAGCACAATAATAATTTAAAGATAAACGAATTCCCAAACAGGAACAGATTTGCGACCTTTGCGCAATTAAACGGCCCCCCTTTCCCCCACACGAGGCGACACTTCCCCTAGGGACTGTCGCGCGTATATGTCAGTAACAGACGGTTTGACAGCGCATAGGCGGCGAGCGAGAGGAGCGCCACGCCGCCGCACCTGCTCCTGCTGCTGCCTGACTGTCTGCGACGGCCATGCAGAAACGGGGTTTCGCATCGTGAGACGAAGCAGACGCTGTGATTTCCGACCTGGGCTGTGACTGACGTCAATTCGCGTTTTTTTTTGTAAACGAAAGGATGCAAAATGAAGAACGGAAGCAGACTGAAAGACGCACACTTCTCTACCTCTGGCAATGCCGGAAACGGTAAAGAAACTTCGGTTGAGTTTATATAGTGTGACACTCTGCACGTTTTAATGTTGTTGATGATGTGGTTTAAGTGTGATATTTGTTTATTTTAAACAGACATAAGCTGTAGTTGCACAGTAGGAAAGCATTGCGCATATACATAGGCCTATATTTTAGATTATGGATGTAGATGGTGTTCAGTATATTACAACAGTTGCGCTGTATCCCGAATAGAAGGAAGATCTGGCAACCCCGAATTACTTAATCTCCTTTTGTGACCCCCCCCCCCCTTCCTGTAATAACGGTTGTATGATGTAACTTCAAGGACATTTTGGCGGTATGCAACTGTGTGGATACAGATAGACAATTTGCTTCAATTTTTAAGTATAATTGATTATTTAATTAAGTATTTTTTATTGATAAACACTCCTGTGGCTAGTCATGTCATTTGGAATTTTCTCTGTTTAGGATACTTAAAGACTAATTCACCTTTCCTGAGAGTTTTGGTGTTATAATTTTCTGTGAGTCAGCACTGTTTTATTGTATAAAGTACAATGACAGTGAATTGTATTGAATACACATTAAATACCATCACACAGCTGCATCACACTCATAAATGGTGTTTCGCTCAGTAAGATAAGGCTTATTTTCTGAAGGGTCGTCCATTTCATTAAGTACGGTCCTCACAGCACCTCACCCTGGCCAGGAACACTCTTGTACTAAAATCCAGGAACCCTTGTATCAGGTGACATGCTGTTGTTGTACTGAGGGGTGTATCAATACATATAGTGTTTTGTTTGTGTGTGTGTGTGGTCCAGGTATGCATTACATTGTGGGGACCAAATGTGCCCAAAATGTGAAAAAAAACTGTTATTTTGACATTGTGGGGACCATTTTTTCGAAGCCAAAACACTTGTATTTCATTTGGTTACTTATGGTTAAGGTTAGGGCTGGGTATGGGTTAAGGTTGTCATGTTGGGATTAATGTTTTGGCCATAGAATGTGTGTGTGTGTGTGTGCGTGTGTGTGCGTGCATTTCTGTTTGCACTTGTGTGCACGTTTTCAGATGCATTCTGGGTATTGAAAGTCCATGTTGGTTAGGTCGATAGGTATATTTCACATGGAGACTTGATGAGTGTGTACCTCGCTCTGGTTTTAGATTTGTTGTCTTCTCCATGCATTGCGACTTTTACCAGCACGTTAAATGCAGTCGTCTGGGTGGTGTGTGCTGCCCCCATATTCTTGCTAAAAAACTCTGTGTCTGGATGCAAGGCTCCCAACTACTGTGATTAGCTGAGAGAGAGAGAGAGAGAGAGAGAGAGAGATGGTGAGTTTTCATGTTATTGTATCAGTGTGGTGCTCTTCAGCCTTGTCAGTGCACGGCTTGCTTTTTAGCACAGGAAACCCCCCTCCCCCATCCTTGCCATTGTAATGTCCTATAGGGTGGAGGCAGGCTGTACGGCTGCAGCCTGTGGGCTATTTCTGGAAGAGGGGTAGAGAGAAAGAGCTTAATAAAGCTAACAAAGTCCTGTATAAAAGCACAGGCGCAAATGCAATATGGAGACCCCGGAGTACGCCAGGGTGACACTGTGCCAGCTTGGTTGCTCTCTCACTCATACCCTGCGCTCTTTCCCTCCACTACGCAGGTGCCAGTGTAACGTCAGGCCTCCAGGCTGTCGCACAAGGGGCCTCGACCAGTGAAGAATGAGCCGGAGTCGCCGCATCCCGAACCGGCCAATCAGCATCTACAAGCACCACAGGGAGTCTGCCAGCGGACTGATGGGAAGAAAGTGAAATCAAGTGTCTGAACTGGCTGTCCCGTCTCCCAAAGGCTCATGGAAGCCAAGGCCCGACAAGACAAAGCTTTCACAAGGGTCCGATAGTCCGTCCGTCTGACGGTTGCTCATTAGCAGGAGCAAAAAGCAGGAATTAAAGTTCTAACATCCTTCCAGGATCTGTATAAAAGCACTTGGGCTTCTAATGGACCGTCGTTGTTAAGGGAGATGCAGAGGGACTTCCCTGCTGCATCACTGTGTTTTTAGGCTCTCCATTCCTGTCTGCTCCACCTGAGACTCTTGGCAGGGAGGGAATCCCATCAGGAAGAGGAGGAACCAAGCAGTGTACAGTTTGAGGGGCCAAGGGGGAAAGTTGGAACAGCCCAACCATGCAGTCAGACGACCTATTTGTCCGCAAGTTCTGCCGGCAAAGCCCGCGGCCCGCACTGACAGCCATGTCTTTCGAGCCCAGGCGAGACCCATGTCTGCGGTCGCAGGTCAAGCCTGAGTGGCCCCCTCGGAGAGAGGAAGAGGAAGTCATGCTTGGTGAGAGCCCGCCCCCCAGCCAGGCTGGCCCTGGTCTGCGCTCGGCCGGACGCAGCCACATCGTGCAGAGGAGCAACAGTGAGGTTATACTGGGCGATCTGGAAGCCTCAGGGACAGCCTATGGGGCGAGAGCAAAGGCACCCGGGATGGGGAGCCTAGGGTCGCAGGATAATCTCAGCTCACTCCTTCACCGGGATTATGGCAGTCTCTCTTCCCTGGAGCGGCGGTCATGTGCCCGCACGGAGGACAGCGAGGAGCAGATGGCCCAGAGCCCCGCCGCACTCCGCTTCAAAGACCCCCTCGTCTTGCTGGGCTTGCAAGGAACCGACATAGAACCTGATGGCTTCTCTCGTGCTCTCGATGTGCCAGACGGGGAGCCGCTGAAGCAGGCCAAGGTGCCAAAGCAAGATGCACAGAACAAGAAGGGTAAGTGGAGCCCCACGCTGGCGCCGCGGGCCTGCCCCGCCGACTGCCTGCCCGGGGCCACATGGGTGCACAACTTTGCGCACTACGACGTGCAAAGCATCCTCTTTGACCTGACGGAGGCGGTGTCAAGCCGCGACAGCATTGGCCGCAAGAAGAACATCACCTCAGGGGCCTCGGCGGCATCCCATGTCCAGCCCTCCACCTCGGGGGCAGCGTCCCAGCTGGTGGGGGGGGTCGGCGGCGATGGGGGGACGGCGGAGGACCCCGAAGGCCAGAGGGAGATGCCGCTGCCCCTGGACGAGGGAGACGGCAACAACAATGACATGCTGCTCAGCTGCCCTCACTTCCGCAACGAGACGGGGGGCGAGGAACGGCCGGGGCTGGGGCGAGTGCTCGGCGCGGGGGCGCCGTGGCTGAGCCTGCAGACCCCCAACGACGCCGTGTCCATCCTGGAGGAGCCCCGCGAGAGCCACATTCAACAGCAGCCCAAGACCAGCTACTTCATTGAGCACGCAGACCTGGGGGCGCACTACTACCGCAAGTACTTCTACATGAAGGGTGAGTTCGGAGCCCGGGTCACATGACACACAGTAAAGAGCACCTCACCGTCTGTGGCGTAGAGTCATCATCACAGATGTGGCGAGCGCTTTATTTCCACTTTGACTCATCTCCGGGTCATACTTGTTGTGGCTTTACACTGATGCTGTTTTAACACTTCAGATGTAGCCCATGTTCTCGTCTCCTACACAGGCATGTTTCCGACGTGGTGATTTATTAGCGTTTAATTAGGACTAAGAGGAAAGCAGTTTCTGTGCCTGTTTGGTGATTTGCGTATTATTTATAGTTAAACAATATATCTGTCCTCAATCTAGCAAGCTCTGCTGCATTTAATTTAGAGGGAATTGCTAATGAGTCACTGGCTTAATTTAATTACAGCTGCCAGTCTCAGTTGAGTCATTTTTGATCTTTTTAATCTTGCAATCCATTACACTACACACTGTATTCCCGAGTGAGGATCCTCCTGTCTCTTGGGTTGAGGCAGAGGTTTTGTTTCCATAAGGACCCCTCATCTCGCTCTGACCTGCTCATATCCCTAACCGCTCAGATCATCAGAATTTCTTTGGCGTGGATGAGCGGCTGGGCCCGGTGGCCATCAGCTTCAGGAGAGAGGAGAAGGAAGGATCAAGTGGTGCCCAGTACAACTACAGGATCATTTTCCGTACCACTGAGGTACACAGAAGACCTCGGTTCGGCCTTTCAGACTGGGCCTTCATTTGGACCTGTGTGGAGTGATATATTTTCAGTGCTGTGCAAAGGTCTTACTGGTGGGAGTTCTACTTAAACAAAAATGTCCTGCTTCCTCTCCTACAATCTGATTGGTTATCTCTCTGAACCGATCATTTCTCCATCTGCCCTCAGAACATTTTTGTGTAGGTAAAACTCCCATGGCCAAAAGTATTAGGCAATCAAAGAAAACTAAAGTTTAAAAGTTGGTGTAAACCTCTATTATGCCTGCCTAAGTGTGTCAACTTAGTCATGTCAAAACCTCTCCTAAAGTCACTCCAGTATTTGCAGTTACCGTCCACTACCCCAATGTATATTTTGACTGGACCACTACCCCACTTTATTTGGCTAATCCATACCCCCTTGAGTTATTTAACTGATTTGCTTAATTAATTGAGCTGGTGGTGAAATTAAATGAATACATGGAGTGGCCCTACAGAGAGGTTTGGGAACTGGCTGTTCATCTAGCCGTCCAAAAAGATGCCAGTAAGAGGAGGAATTCTTGTTTATTTGTGTCCATATGTTCTAATGTTAAATTGTGGTTTTTTTCCCCCCTGAGTAAATATACCATCCAGATTAAAGGCCTCAAACATTTTCTTTCACTGCCTAAGACTGTTGCTGTATAGGATTAAACACCGTATGATTAAATAAGGTTGTAATATATGAGTTGGTTATTAGTTGTATAAGCGCTACTGTCCCTGTTGGTCTCCCCATGGTGCAGCTGAAGACGCTGAGGGGCTCCGTGGCAGAGGAGTCGGTGAGCACGGGGGCCCGGCACACGGCCCCGCGGGGCCTGCCCCACCGCCGGCTGCTGGAGCACATCCTGCCCGAGCTGAACCTGCACTGCCTGCGGCTGGCCTCCAACTCGCCCAAGGTCCCAGAGATACTGCTGAAGCTGGACGAACAGCGGGTCAGTCGCTGAAGGGGGGGGGGGGCACTGAACCACTGGGATGGGGGGAGGAACTGGAGCAGAGGTGGGGTAAGCTTGAGGAAAAAAAATGTGTGATTCAGTGTCTTCAGGGTCTATGCCCAAGGTCAGAAGGTCACTGGCCCCATGAATGCGGCCCTTAACCTGGCAGCTCCATGGGCGCGGCATGCTGGCTGACCCAGCGCTGTGACTCCCTAACCCAGCACTGTGACACCCTAACCCAGCGCTGTGACTCCTTAACCCAGCGCTGTGACTCCCTAACCCAGCACTGTGACACCCTAACCCAGCGCTGTGACACCCTAACCCAGCGCTGTGACACCCTAAGCCAGCTCTGTGACACCCTAACCCAGTGCTGTGACACCCNCTGTGACACCCTAACCCAGCGCTGTGACACCCTAACCCAGCGCTGTGACACCCTAAGCCAGCTCTGTGACACCCTAACCCAGTGCTGTGACACCCTAACCCAGCGCTGTGACACCCTAACCCAGCTCTGTGACTCCCTAACCCAGCACTGACACCCTAACCCATCTCTGTGACATCCTAACCCAGCGCTGTGACTCCCTGACCCAGCACTGTGACAGCCTACCCCAGCTCTGTGACATCCTAACCCAGCGCTGTGACTCCCTAACCCAGCACTGTGACACCCTAACCCAGCGCTGTGACACCCTAACCCAGCGCTGTGACACCCTAACCCAGCTCTGTGACACCCTAACTTACTCTCACCTGTACATGTGTCTCATGGAGAACATGATTGGGCATGCAAAGTAAAGCATTGTGCAAATAAAGCCTCACTTCAAACCTTATTTGTGACTGCTGCAAGCTTTCTGTCTCCTACATATGTGTCTGTGCGTCATGGAGAGCAAGATGGGGTAGGCAATAAGAGAATTTCACCACAGGGATCAATAAAGTATTATTATTCTATTCTAGATTATTCTATTCTTGGCATCTTATAGTTATACAGTAGTAGAGTAGAGTTATAGTGGGGTGTGGGCTTGGGGTTCGGCAGCTGGGCACATGTACTGCAGTACATTTAAGTGAGTTTGACGTAAATGGCTGGTAATGAGGCCTGAGGAAGCAGGCTGATCATCTGACTACACCCTGCCTTGGGACCCCCCGCTCCCCGCATATCTTAACTTGTCTGTGGAGTGGCAGGAGGACAGCGGTGACAGCAGCAGTGGTCTGACGACCCTCCTGTCCCCTCCCAGCTGAACTTCCAGCGGAAGGTGGGCATAATGTACTGTCGGGCCAATCAGAACTCGGAGGAGGACATGTACAACAACGAGTATGCAGGCCCCGCCTTCGAGGAGTTCCTGGACCTACTGGGGCAGAAGGTTCGACTGCAGGGCTTCGACAAGTTCAGGGCTCAACTGGACAACAAGAGTGAGTGCAGCCAGAAGTGAGACACACACAGACGCTCTCATCCACAGAAGTGCACATAAACACTGTCGACGGTACAATCATATGCATCTATAGACTCACACACATACACATACACAGTCATGTAATCATATTTTTTTGGGGACCGCTCATTGATTTCTATGGGGAAAATGCTAATGCTAACTATGACAACCTTAACCCCTACCCAGCCCAAACCATAACCACAAGTAACCAAACAAAATACAAGAGTTTTTGCATTTCAGTTTTTTCATTTAAAAATAGAGTTTTCTCATATGGGGACCAGGAGGTCCCTAGGTAAAAGGTAAAAAAAGGTATAAAAAAAAGGGTATTTATCACATTGTGGGGACATTTGGTCCCCACAAGGTAAGGTATACCTGGACCATACACACACACACACACACACACTTCATGACAATGAGCCCAGCACCAGCCCACAGAAAAACCAGACACAGAGGACATCTGGTTTATGCCAGCAGGAAGATATAGATCTTATGCTGCACATATAATCTTCGCTTTGTGTGTTTGTCATGTCACCTAGTTTCTGTAGACACCGCCTCCAGTGTGGCCTGCTAGCGGCAGGTGGCTCATGATGGCTATTCAACTGCCCTTTCCCCTCTTCCCATGCAGCGGACTCTACCGGCACCCACTCGCTGTACACGAAGTACCAGGACTACGAGATCATGTTCCACGTGTCCACCATGCTCCCCTACACCCCCAGCAATACCCAACAGGCATGTGGGCACCTGCACCGTTACGGAATAATAAGCCCCCGCGGACCTATACCGGACAGACCGGCCCGGTGAGGCTGACTCTCCCTCTCTCTCTCTTTTCTCCACCCAGCTGTTGCGGAAGAGGCACATCGGCAACGACATCGTGACCATCGTGTTCCAGGAGCCCGGGGCATTGCCCTTCACGCCCAAAACCATCCGCTCTCACTTCCAGCACGTGTTCATCATCGTCCAGGTTCATCACCCCTGCACTGAGAATACCTACTACAGGTACTGCAGGAGGTCTATTTGGCCAAGTATGGTCACACATACTGGCAATTGGTCTCCAATGCTCACATATATACAGTGGGTCAAGGGTGTAGGTTTAGTTTCAACATTGGCAGGTACCAAATCAGTACCGAACCCCCCGCCCCCCTAAACACACAGGGTACTACAACAATATTGGTAGGGCCCTTGCAGTGGGTACGGAAAAAGAAAGAAAGAAAGCCGGAAGACAACGGAGGAGAAGAATCTTATAGTTATTGATAGATGTAACTAGTTTTTTCTGAGCAAATCAGTGAATGTTACTGAGATCATAAGAAAGAAAGAAAGAAAGAAAGAAAGAAAGAGAGAAAGAAAGTGAGGAGGCCATTGAGCCCATCAAACTCACTTGGAGGGGATTAAACTAATAATTTAAAGTTGGCAGCACATTGTCAGGTTCAGATTTGTAGGAAACTAGGGTTTTAGCTTGCACTCCCCCTTCGGGCAGACTGTTCCATACTCTAATTACACGCTGTGAGAAGTAGTTCTTTCTCAGACCCAAACTAAAGTGTTCTCCCACTAATCTCCAACTGTGGCCATGGGTACTTCAACTTATTTTGAAGTAACAATTTGGATGAACAGTATTTAGACCTGTTAGAATCTTATATACCTGGATCATGTCATCCCTTAGTCTCCTTTGACAGGAAAGAGTTTTAACTAGAATTACAAACGTAAAGAATAGCAATCCTATGAAGGGGACTGAGATCCTTGGATCTTCTGGGATCTCTTGTCATCCGGTACAATAAAACCATAAAATCCCAGATCTTAAAACTGCTTACTCTGAGTAAGTTCTGCCTGATGGAGTGAAATGTGCAGAGCGAGTGCTGCCAGGGAGCAGATGATGGCTGAAGCTGATCGAATGCCTCCGTTCTCCGATGGGCCCCCAGGGTGGCTGTGACGCGCTCCAAGGACATCCCCCTGTTCGGGCCCTTCTTCCCCAAGGGGGCTCGCTTCCTGCGGTCGCCGGCGTTCCGGGATTTCCTTCTGGCCAAGGCGGTGAGCGCGGAGAATGCTGCGGATAAGTCCGAGAAGTTCCTCTCCATGGCCACACGCACGCGTCAGGGATACCTGAAGGACCTGGCGGAGAACTTCGTCACCACCTCACCCATCGACTCCTCCACCAAGTTCCCTCTGCTCTCACGGGCCGTCAAGCGCAAGGACAAACTGAAGAGCACCAAGGGGGCGGAGCTGCACAGCGCCGGGGCTCTGGTGTGGCCGGTCGTGGCGTCCGGAGGCGGGGCCTGCGCTGAGAGGCTCCCCTGCCTGCTGGTCATCTCCGGGGAGTCCGTGGTGCTCATCGAATCCAGCTCCCGCCTGGTGGTGTTCAACTGCAACTCCCGCGACGTGATTGGCTGGAAGGCGGTGACGGAGGGCGGGGCCAGCGGCGGGCCCTACCTGGATATCTATTATGAGCGGGGAGAGTCGATCTCCATCAGTGTTTCTGAAAGCCAGGTGGAGGACGTCCGGGAGGTGGTGCAGAGACTAAAGGTGAGAGCAAAGCTGGCTGCACAGTGAGGGGTGGCTGCTTTTTAAGTGGCTGGGGCAATTCTATGAGGTGGGGAGCATAAGGTGGGCCATAATTCATACAGATGGGCAACCTTATCATTAGCCAATGACATGTTTGGAATTGGTGAGTGACAGGACGGGAGCACTCTGGCAGCCAATCAACTTTGTTGCTGTCTATTACATAACTAATGCAGCTTCAAAAAGTGAGATTTTGGGCCTTTTATTATATCCTGTTTTTATTATATTACATTATACCCAGAGGGTGTCCGGGGCCTGCGAGGTGCGGGAGGTGATGCCCCTGCGGGACTCGGTGGGCCACCCCGGCTTCATGCTTAGCGAGGACGGCTTCGTGATGGAGCTGCAGCAGTCCAGCTATACGGAGAGCGCAGGCCTGCAAATGGGGGCGCGCGTGGTGCGCCTGTGTGGGCGCCCCCTGGTGGCCCTGTCGGCCGCCGACCGGGCCAGCCTCCTGCGCTCCGCCCCCAGGATCCACCTCACTGTCATCCCGCCGGACAAGAACGGCAAGCAGGCCAGGTCAGCGGCTCTGTCTGGGTGCTGTGTGGGTGAGGAGGGAGAGGAGGGCAAGGAGTGAAGACCTGTTTCTGAGGGTGTGGCAGGTTAGGGCTGTGTCCCTGTGTCCAGAAGGTCATGGGTACGAATTTTGTAGCCAGTGGCATAATCACATCAAGGCCCTTAACCCAAAATGCCGCAGGGGAATTCGGTGCTGACTGACCCCAAGCCTGTGTATGTGTGTATGCGTGTGTCTCATGGAGAGCAGGATGGGATGCGCAGGGATCAGTAAAGTGCCTCTATTCTATTCTGCAGTATATGATGTCACCAAGGGTGGAACTTTTCAACTAGGCTAGTTCAGTGAGATGTGTAATCCGACATGCAGTTACTAGCTAGCAGGGTGGTGTGCAATGATTTGTATGCACCCCTCCCCTCAAGCGAATGGGCGGGTTTAATTCCCAGCCCTGGGTGTCACACCTTCTGACCATTTGTGCTTGGGAGAAATTCAGGACAAGCCCGTCCATTAAGGGTTCAACAGCATGGACATCTGGGGGAATCTGTCCTTAGGTGCCACGCTGCCTGCGCATTGACGGCAGTCTACGTCGCTCCCTCTTCCTTGCAGGAGTTTATCAGAGCTTTACCAGAAAGCCTTACAGGGCACTGAGCTGAAGCCCGGGGACAACCAGTCCAGGGAGGCCTGGGTGGTGGAGGAGAAGGAGGAGCAGGAGGAACCTAGAGGTCAGGAGGCGCAGGAGCACTGGCACTCGGGAGTCAGGGACCAGCGCTCACTCGTGTCCCCACCATGCCCGCCCCTCCAGAGGGCCACCTCCTTCCAGGATGACAGCGCCAGCCGCCCATCTCCGACGGGCAACTACTTGCTGGAGACGCCGCAGCTGCAGCCGAACCCCTGCAGCGAGTATGAGCTCCACAGACTCCCCCTTCCTTTATTTAAGCAGGGTGATGTCAGACCTAAATGTAGAGGGTCCTTTAACTGGCAGCCCATCCAAGCAGGCCGGCCAATCAGACCAATCAGTTTCCTGTCAGACCAATCGCATACCATGAACCCAGACTGAGACCGCCCATAGCGTTAGATCCTGATTATGATTGGGGATGGTGTGTGGCTCAGCACTTTTAGCCATTGTGTCTGCGATCAGAAGGTTGTCAGTTCAAGTCCCAGCCTTAGCAGAATAGTCACATCTCTCTTGGGCCCTTGAGCACTTCCATTAACACACCCCCCCCCCTAAAAAAAGCTCAGATAAATGACACTTGGACCCCAAGTGTCACTCTCAGCTGTATACTAAGTGTGTGTGCATGTTCTCAAGGGAGATGAAGATGGGATAAATGAAAAGAAGCATTCCATACTTTTCCATACTTTTTCCATACTTATTTGCAAATGGCAAGTAAAGCATCATATCGTTTCACAAGAAATTCTAAACACTAAACAGAGCAAAAGACATGAATGATTCTCTCTTTTCTCTGGCTCACACCAGCCGGCACTTCTACGACAATCGGGTTCAAAGGAGGAAAATGCACATCTACGAGGTTCCTGTGGAGGTGCAGACCACCACACCTGACCTCATCCCCAAAGCCTTGGTGGAGGAGAAGGAGGACCTGCAGCAACAGGTGGGGGCCACTTTGGCAGCTGGGCGCGGTGGCTGCGCTGGGTGCACTGGGTGCGCTGGGTGCACTGGGTAACGGCCTCTGGGTGTATCCTGGAGATGAACGTGGAGATCTCTACGTCTCATTCTCCCTTGTTTTGCGTTATCCATAAATGGTATCTTTGATTGATCTTTGGAAAAAAAATGTAGAAATACGTGTAGCCATTAAAAGAAATGTAAATTCTAGGAGAAAATTATAAGTGGTTATCGGTGGGTGAGTGGGTTGGATGATGTACACGAAGGTCTAGCTTCCATTTTAGGAGACTGCTGCAGCGTGGCTCTCAGTATTTTATGTGTGTCCCCTCTGTCTCCCCTGGGGGTGGAATCACAGCAGGCCCTGTCCTCACCCTGCCGCACCCCCGAGGTTGTGGCTCCGCCCACCACTGAGCCTGTGGCCCCCTTGGACAGCACTGACCACAGCTCCTCTGCCCAGAACACGCAGAACTCCTTAAACAAGAGTAAGTGGGGGGGGGGGACACCAACCCTACTGTTCCTGGAGGTGTCTCCCACACACTGGCGGGGGGGGCGTGTATAGGAGATCAGCCACCAGGTCACACAGTGACTGGGCACTACATGCAGATAAAAGCAGAACAGTCATTTTTCGCCACGATCACTCTCCAGCACCCCTCCCCATAACCCCAATGCCGTAATTCAGCCCCTCTCTCCTTGCACCCTGCCCCCCCGCCACCACCCCCGCCGCCACCTCTAGTTACCCTAATGTCCCCCCGCCCTTGCCAGCCCCTGATTGAGCAGGGGACAGATGGGAAGCAGGCTTCAGACTATCCCAAAACAAGGAACCCATTTGGCCATCTGCTCTCCCCCCCCCCCCCCCCCCCCCCCCCCCCGCATCGCCTCCCCTCTGAGTCATAGTCAGTCTGTGTGCAGCTTCTTTGATACAACGCGAACTTCACTGGAACATGCAGGCCATGCTGTGGCTTTTACTGGCAGAACACTGGTATCCAAAGGGTCTCATCCCCAGTGCCGTGGTCTGAGCCTTGTAGTCTTTTTTACACCACGGACACTCTAACATATACCAGCACACCAACATTTGCATTAAAAAAAAAAAAAAACACTTTTAAACACTTCATACATCAGCGAAACATTATTTAGCCATCATTTTGTTTTTCAGTCTTTTCTATTTCACTTTTTCAATTATGTATGGCATTAAAGTACATGCAGCTGTGTTGTTTTACAAGACACTGGAATATGTAACAAGCTTCCAGCAATTAATATTTTTGATGTATAAGTATATAATAGTGGCGAACAGCATTCTTGAATGGAAGCTACAGGTGTTTGGGGCCAGTTTCCATTAGCAACTGATTTTCACCTGGGCCTCCAGGTAAACAAATGCTGTATGAACTTATCGTCAGTGAAGCATTTTAGATGTGTTGGAGAGGGAAAAATGGCTGGACCCGTAGATCACAAATGCCTTCGACTGGTCTGGGTGAAACCATTGTCACAATGAAGTACTCCTATATCCATCAAAAATTACAGTAAAATCAATTATCATAGACATGTATTCTTAAACCAGGAGTATCACTCATCTTTAGATTACAGTGCCATCTGCTGGTCTTGTTCTGTTACTGGTAGTACAAGACCATTTAGACATAATAGAATAGAATAGAGATGCTTTATTAATCCCCGTAGAGAAAATAGATTTTTGCCTACCCCATCTTGCTCTCCATGAGACACACAGACACACATACAGGTGAAAACAAGCTTGGGGGTCACAGCACAGGGTCAGCCATCGTGCAGCAGCCCTAGAGCTGAGGGTTAAGGGCCCCGCTCAAGGGCCCACAGACACGTGACTATTCTGAAGAAGCCAGGTCTCAAACCAGTGACCTACCAGTCACAGGCAGAGAGTTTTAGGCTGTTGAGTCGCACCCTACCTCCCAATTATAGCCAGGATTCTAGTTTGTACCAAATCAACAATTACAATCACAATCGATAACTGTTGTGTCTCCCGCTCCCCTCAGGTTAAGAGTCTGGGTGTCGTCCTCGACAGCGCATTATCCTTTCAATCTCATATTAACAATATCACTCGGTCTGCATATTTCCATCTACGCAATATTAATCGTCTCCGTCCTTCCCTCACCCACCACACCACCGCTATCCTTGTTCACAGCTTAGTCACTTTACGACTAGACTACTGCTATTCCCTTCTGTTTGGTCTGACCAACAAATCCCCATAAGCTTCAATTACTTCAAAATTCTGCTGCTCATATTATTACTAAAACCGCCTCTATACATCATATCACCCCTGTCCTGCAGCAGCTGCACTGGCTCCCAGTACATCTACGCATTAATTTCAAAATTCTCCTCTAAACGTTTAAGGCCATCCACAATCTCGCTCCTCCATACCTGTCTGATGTAATTCACATTGCTACTCCCTCTCATTCCCTCAGGCCTTCCTCCTCTATTCACCTCATCGTCCCTTCTGCCCGCCTTGTCACTACAGGGAGCAGGGCATTCTGCTGCTCTGCTCCCCCGACTCTGGAACTCCCTACCAAAAGACATTAGAAATATCAACTCCTTTTCTCTTTTTAAATCAAAACTCAAAACGCATCTGTTTAAAAATGCCTACTCTCTGTATCTTTTTATACTGTTTTAGTTTTAGTTGTTTTTATTCTGATTGTTCTTATTCGTGGTGTAATTCTGTGCAGTGTTCTTGTGTGCTTTGAAAGGCGCCTTTAAATAAAATGTATTATTATTATAATTGTACTGATTTCCAGACTAACATGATTTAAAAATGATGTCTTCCTCAGTCCTGTTGGAGCCCAGTGACTCCACCGATGACGAATGGCAGTCCATCTCTGCAGTGGCCTCTGCCTGTAGTAGCATCCTGGAGGCGATGTGTCACGAAGGTTAGAACGGCTGCACCGTACTAACATGCGGTGTCACACGACTGAAGGTCTGCATGACAGGATCAGGGCTGAAGATTCAATGGCATCCCCACCATGAATCTATTTTATCATTATTATTATTATTATTATTCCTCTGCTTGTGGTGATAATTATTGGGCCGATATGGACTTCGTGGTCCCCATCTGACAAACACTTCTGAGAGTGACATTTAATAACATGGACATGTTGGCCTCATAGAGGCTACGTTGCCTAGACAACTCCGCTGCAGCTCTTGACCACATAAATGGCCGAATGGCTGGATCGAGGGGCCGTGGGGATTCTGACTCGCTCAGAGAAAAAGCCATGAGGTTCCATGAGTCGTGCTTTGGCGTTACAGGAAGGAGACCGGCGGGAGATATAGCCCAAGCCCCAGGAGACGGCCCCGTCACAGATGGACGGGTGGACTCCATAATGAACAACAGCGTGGAGAGGTGAGGACCTGACTCCCTGGAAAGGACGTGAGTGAATGAGTCAGCACCAGCAGGTCTGAAACACCACACAGGTTCACGACGTGAATTGGGAACCCCTGGACAGAATCGAATCATTACGCAGACCACTGTCTCTGTCTGTTCAGAATTTTCATTCCATAGTGTTTCAGCTACACTGTATTTTGATGCTACCAATTTCATGTTCTAAAGGGTTTTATTTATTTTATTTAAATAGAGTCATAAGTTGATCTGTCGGTATTGTATCATAAACATCTAAGGTAGCCTACTGCTTGTTGGAGAACATGCTGCGGTTTTCTTACCTCAGCACTGAGGTGAAGTTGCGGGCCCCTCCAGCAGACGTAGGGTCGGCCTCCAAGGATCCACGCCCTTCATTCTGCAGGTGATCTCACTCTGACTCCCTGTTTCTCTAATTCCGAAGTAGCAATTTTCCTGGGGACCTCGGAGAGAAAGTGTCTCAGCTGGAAAACATTCTGAAGAGGCTGCAGACTGACCTGCAAAAGGTACCACCTGTTCAGATGCCCCAGCACCTCCCTTTCCCTGATCTCACCCCCAAGCCCCAGCCCCTCCCTGTCCTGCCTCCCTGTCCCCGCCGCAGTACTCTGTCCCTGCTCCCTGCTGGGTCCTGACACCTGACCGCTAAAAAAAAACAGGTGAAAGACAAGACCATGGAACATCTGTTACATGAAAAAAATCTCACCTCAGTTTTATTGGTTGTATGCACACTCACCTGACACCCAACCGACCAATCACATCCGTACCAGCACATAAAGACTAGCCCATTAGCATTTGAGGGGAAACCTTAATGGAATAGACCAACAGACCAATGTTGGATAAGTTTTGTTAGAAAGCCAGTGGAGGCATTCTGCCTTTGACCCCATTCTGTAGATAGTAGCCACGACCTGATAACCAATGGGGTGTTGGCAATGCCGATGATGTCACCGTGCTATGTGGAGGCCTCAGCCCTGTCCTTGCATTACACTACATTGCCCCATCCTTACTTTTACATTTTCTGAAAACTCCTGCAACTGAACTGTGCAACATAAAGAATACAACTTCTAATTAGAGCCCATTGTTCATGAATAGGACTTTAGCTGCAGCAGTAATCCCAGAGGACCTCCAGCGATGAGGACTCTGCCCCCTTAGGAGAATCGGTGTGTGCGTGGTGGCACCAGGATGGACACAAGTACATTTCCTTCCAAAACATCACTGGGCAACCTACTGTAACAAAGATAAAAGCTCTGTGGTTAAGCTAACCCAGCTGTTAGCATGCTGGTGAACCCATTGATGCCCAGATGAAGCATACAGCAGGCACCCACAGACCTGCAGCGTGAAGACAAGCAGTCGAGGGCAGATGTGGTGCTCTTCAAGCCTGTAGCACGCCTTAGTCACCCTTTGTCCTTTTGCAGGTGGTAACATCCCCCACTAATCATTAACAGAGTATTATCATCAATCCACTAATTAGGAGGGATTACCCTTACTGAGCGTCTGCTCGATTAAGCCCAGCTTCGCTCACGAGGAAAATGAGCATAACTGCAAGCAGGATTTTGTAAGAGCAGTCAAAATAATCCGGTGCTCAGAAGGGCCAGTGCTGGTATATTCTAGAAGGAGGATATGTTTGCCTTGAGCACGTGGGAGTTTTACTTACATAAAAATGTTCTGAGGGTATAATGAAAAATCATTGGTTCAGAGAGATATCAATCACATCATAGAGGAGGTTGGTCTAAGCAACTAGAGGAGGTGGGACCAAGACATCTGATTGGTTGGTCCCACCTCCTCTAGTTGCTTGGATCCACCTCCTCTACAATCTGATTGGTTGTCTCTATGAACCAATCATTTTTCATTCTTACATTTTTCTGTAAGTGAAACTCCCATGAGCTCAACGCGAAATGCCCACAAACGGCACTTAGCCTCGACAGCTAATGTTAAGGCACATTCGCAGTTTGCAGCTGTGGAGTAGAGCTGGCTCAGGCGAGATGTGAGCTATGTCAGGAGCCGCGGCTATAGAAGTAGGTTGCTCTTTCAGGCATGGATTGATGATAATGCATACCCATCACATTCATTCATTATTAACCCTGCTCACCTCCACCTCACATACTGTACCAAAACCAGTCCCCCACCCTGGAATGGCGGGTGTGGTTAAGGTGATTAACATCCCAGCTGAAAAATCCCTCTGTGGTCCACCACGGTTACTTGGGGTCGGAAACCATTAACTCTGAGTCAACGCTGAGTGTGTCAGGACTGAATGTGAGGGGGCCTGGTCATTATGTGGCAGTCTCTGCTACTTAGGGTAGCTCTTTACATGTCATAATTTAATGCAAAGTGCTTTTAATGAGCAAAACAGGCCCTACAATTAATCAGACTCCAAAGAGAGTACATTATGTAAATAACAGAGTGTCCCAAATACAAATATTAACAGAGCCAGACCTTTTAGCCTTATGTAACTTTTACATAACTTTCCAAACAGCCTTTTTCAAAACGACATGAGCTGTCACTGATCTCGAAACAGCTCATTTTGGCTTTTAAAACTGTTCACGCAAGACAGGCGTTTGAACCTCAGCAGTCTGTCCTGATACACTGTCGCGAGTCCGCTCCACGAGCACTTGTGATGTATTGTTTCCTAAATGTCATTTTTCTTCTCCTTTGACATGCTCTTTTCTAAATGTTGAGAAGTTTGCCATGGAAACCGAAGCGAAAAGTGCAGCAGATAGATTAGGGGGGGAGGGGATGCAGCCACAGCCAGAGGGGGCTTTACTGGCCTTCATCCATATCCGTCCATTAAAGGGGGACCGTGGCAAACTTTTCAGACTTCATTCTGTACCCCCTTGAGCTCAGTTTTAACCCTGGCAGTATGTGTGTTAATGATGAAATAGCTGGTATGTGTGTGTGTATCCGTGCGTGTCTGTGTGCATCTGCACAGCGGATTACATGCTTCCAGGCATGTGATTCTCTGCCTTAACAGGGAGTCTTAACGAGGTTCGGTTGAGCTCAGGACTTCTAAACCCGACTCATGTGGGACCAGCAGGATCTGCAGTTTTCAGTCGATCTGATTATTCACTTCTGCCAGGAAATGTAATCTTTTATTTTAATGGATGACCTGGCCAAACTAGCATCTCCCAAGACATCAGGAGAAGCAAGCGCAAATCAATTATATACTTCTCTAAACCATTAACATGTATCTCAGACAATATCTTGCTCTCTGGTCTTGAAGACATGAGATGGCTCCAGGGCAGATCCATGACTGACTGTTTAATGGCCACCCCTTCTATCTCAGCCCAGCCACCAATCAGAAGAAAGGGAAGGAAGAATGAGCATAAGGGATGTAAATGCACAGTGCACAGGTTGGCTCACAGGAAGAGTGACTTTGATGTCATTGCTGCTGTCATGGACAAGGTCCTGCCCCTCTGATAGAGCAACAACTTTAATACATTTTGATTGGACAAAGTGGCTGTCACTCTGCTAACACAGTCAGATGATGAAAATGATTGGATAAAAACTAGTGTTCAGGGGTCCCCCATGTCATCTCCTGCCAGTGTACGCATGTGTAAGCACGTGCTTGTGCACGTGCGTATCTGTATGAAAGGGCTCAGAAATGTTTTCCAAAGCAGGAGGCCAGTATTTTTAGTTATACCGCTTAAAATGTTCTGCGGGCCAGAATATGAGAAGCAGGGAAGCCCGTTTGTTTGGCTTTCTGTGCTTTAGCTTGTGTGTGTGCGTGAGACACAGGGGTTCTGGTGTGTGCGTGTCCACCTTACCCTCCTCCCCAGTCATGGCTCCTCCCCTTTTAACAACCTCCTGCACCTATTCTCATGGACACCCCCCCTCCATACCTTGCCCCCCGCCAGGAGAAGGAGGACAAGGCAGAGCTGCAGGCGGAGGTGCTAACCCTCAGGGAGAACAACCAGCGGCTGCGCGACGAGTCCCAGAGCACGGTGGCCCGGCTCATCAAGGTCACGGAGCTGCTGTGCAGAACCACCAAGCACTGATAGCCCTCCACTACCCCCCCACTGTTTTGTGCCACAGACTCTGCCCCCTCCCCCCATCTCTTTATGTGCCATGAGTCAGATATTTAGTGCTATTGGGCAGCCCTGGGGTAAAGGGTGAGTGTGGACCCAATCCCACACCCTTGTATTGGGCCCCCCACACCTCCATTGACAGCACCTACTGCACCCCGCACACCCACTGGCTTTCTGAAATGAGCATTCAGACACACACACAAACACACAGACGTGCATGACCAAGCGCAGTCTACTGTCAGCTGCCTTGGATCCTCGAGCAGATGGGGGCCCAAGCAAGTGTAGCAGAGAAGGGTCTGGCTGCGGAACACTGGGCGATCTTCACAAAGAGGACCTCCACTGTGGGGCTGGAACGCACGTGATCTCCACAAAGAGAACCTCCACTGTGGGGCTGGAACGCACGTGATCTCCACAGCGGGACCGGACGTGGTGATGCTGGAGAGGACTCAGTAGACTGAGCATGTGCATAGACAGCACCCAGCTTTCTTTATAATTAGGAAGATGGATATTTCTCATAAGTATATAATACTTATATTACATAATATAATACTTAGAGGTTAGAATTTCTCACTGAAATAGCAAATTTAAAATAAATACTAGTGTTTATAAATACTAGTGTATCTCCCTCCCTAAAATATTAACATTCATTCCTGTTGATTTAAATGAGAATATTGACGTCCATTCCCAGTGTTGCACTAACGTCATATCCAGCACTATTGTGGAGGTCATGTGATCTCGAGCCTCCTAGCCGAGGTGCAGCCTCTGTTCCTGAAGTTTGCATAACATCATGTACGGCCCAGGAGTGTAGGTCAAGTGATTCCTGGTCCCGCAGTGGAGATCTCCCCAGTGGAGGTCTGCTAGTGTTCTACAGCCAGATCCTCTTGGAGCAGCAGCTGGTTGAGATACAATGGCTGCTAATTGGCCCCTCCTCTCTCCCTCCCTCCAGCCGTGCCCCCCACTCATGCACTGAAGACCGCTGGACGGCTGTGGCGGCAGCGCTGGTCCGATCGGTCTGATAGTGTGACTGGAACACAGGCTCCACAGGACTCCCTCGTGTGTTCACACGTGTGAGTGTGAACACTTGTGCCCAGACGCAGTTGCTGACCTCACATCTGATGTCAAATATATATGAAGTTATGACAAATATGTGTAATACATCAATGAAAGTGGCTGTGTCATATGTGCGTGGTTTTGTGGGTGTTTGTGCCAAGCTCACCCTCTACTCTGCTCAAACTGCGCCACCTGCTGCCCATATCTTGCAAACGCAGCCTCATTTCCTGCCTGCACTGATACTGCTGCACATGACTGTGGTTTCTGAGGACACAGGTGTCGGACAACAGCTCAAAATTAGAAGCCGTCTATCGCAAAAAGTGTCACTGGAATATGGACAACCGAATTCACCCTCAGGAAACTGTGACTGATACTTATGAAGGAGTCCTAAATTGAATGAGCCAAAATGTGTGTTTTAATGCCTGAAAGGTGCACTTTTGTCAGTTCAGTATTAAGTAACTTTGCATGCCTTGCTGGGATTGTCCGGACAAAAGATAAAAAGCCTAAGAAATGCCAGGAAGACTGAGATAATAGGCCCTTGTTTTCGACTGTGGCAGAAATGTGTGACCTCTAAACCCACACGGAGCACAAGTCTTGTGACCAGGGCCACCCCTCCAGCTTACAGGCTCAGGAGGCTGGCCGAGGAGAGTCACCCTGTCACCCAGGATACGGTTACTTATCACGACCTTGGAGATGTGATCGACAGAGGGCATGACCTGTGGGAATCGGGAGGTGCAAGGCAGCAAGTCAGATAAGACCATTAGCCTGAGGACAAATACAATGTGATCCGGCACTGGTTAATTTCCATGTCCATCTGCCAATGAGCACTGGTCTGTATTTCCTTAGCCTTCATAAGAAGACCATCTAACAGAGAGCAATGCATATTTGATTGTTAACAGGCTTTTAAAGGGATGCAAAGTAAATTATAAAATATTTAATTACTTTCATATTGTACAAACTTTCTTTGTGAAAATGTTGAGCCTAATTTTCTAGAATTTGATTTACTGTGATTTCCTGGTACCAGCAGTTTATATCCAGATGAAATGATAAATTTTTATTTTGTTACGCAGTTGAGCTACGTCAGTGAATATTTTGCATTTAGCTTCCACCTGCCAAAGCTGCAAACATGGCAGAATGAAGTTCGCAGCAAGCCTGTGGCTGTACCTTAGCGCCAAGCTCTTTAAATTCATAGTTTGCTATTGTTTTAAGCAGAGCTCCTTGTTGCTCGAAATTTATAAAGCAGCAACTTGGTTTTAATAATTATCCTTTTGTAAAAAAAAATACAAAAGAAATAAACAGGCTAAAAGCCTAAATCATTTCACTGATGGTCTTTGGGTATCTTCTTTCATTATTCAGTTTTTGTGTGCACATGCATACATTAATTGGAATTTGACTGGTGAGAGTCTGATTGAGCTACATTCCTTACAGGTATCACTTCTGCTGCTGCTAATCTTTACTGTCTTTCATTCCTACTGTTTTTCACATTGCTGTCTCTCAGTGTCCTGGCTAGTAGCTGGTTGCGAATCGCAAGGTCCAGTCATTCAATAAATTGAGCTCCAAAATGGTACGAGATTCTCTTTGTCAGGATCTCACAGCATTATGATTGACCGTTGATTTTTATGCGCCACATTTAGTGTTCTCTACCTTATTACTTAGGAGGCCTAATGAATGGGAGAGACCTCGCATAGGCCGTCTATCGTCTATCTAAGGGACTGGAATACCAGCCAATGGCCAGACGTTACACCCGTTTCCGTCTTGGGTTTGGTCAGCTAAATTTCATAATGAAATATCTCGAAACTTCCTGTATTATAAATGCATAAATGAGACACAATATTCTGTACAATGCAATTTCTTCACAAATTCTCTATATTCTGCTAGGCAGTGGCGCGGGGCAACATGCTAATGACATTGGAGAATTAAATTACAATCATCTGCCTTTCTTACACGGATAGGGTCAGCTATCATAAAATTAGACCAGGAACTTGATGGGTAGCAGGTAGCATAGTAGACTAGTACTATCCATGCAACTAGTAACACCAGTGGCTATTCTAGGGAACCTGGGGGCCCTAGGCAAAAAAACTCCATGGGGCCCACAAATACACCCCACCCGACATGGTAAAAATTATGACCATTATTTTAGTTTGAAGTTTAAATTAATAATCTCAACAAAGAGAATTTAATAAACACAATTCCTTTCTTTTCACTTTACTGTGAAAAACAGAATACACAAATAAAGCAGATTTGTCGCTGCAGTGTGCTGTGTTATAGGCCCAGCTTGGGGGGGCCCCCTCCCAGCTCGGGGAGCCCCTCACAGCTTGCCTGTCATGTCCCTATGCAGCTGCCTAAAGTTGTAGGGCCATATCCTGGGAGAACATTTTTCTGTGGAAAGCAACATAGTAAAAATCACATTGCAGTGGTGCATAGTGTTAGTACTCAAACATCAAATCACACAATAAACTGATATCCTACCTGTATTAAGAGGCCACGGCATCTTTTAACCTTTTAGTGGCTCATCCGGACTAAGGTAAGGAGCATGTGCTGATTACAATATGTTACCACACCCACCACACAACAAACCACCTCAGGGATGAGAACCTGAGTGCAGCCATATGGTGGGTGATACCTCAGCACCACACTAGTCCAAATGGACCAGTGTGAGGTTTTTTCCGGCAGCTGGAGTGTCAATCCTGCAACATCAATGACTGGACTGGGGAGCTTGACACAGGGAGGCACTATATACATGACTGACAAGGGAGCAAATGAGAGGTACCTGGGGTGACCCACACGAGGGCTGTAACGAGAGGCAAGATTAAATAACAAGTAAATAAGTAACAAGTCAAATAGAATATCAACTTCTACTTCACAAAAAGGATAGATACTTTCAGTACTGTTTATTTTATTCTTATTTTTAATTGCAGTGTTTCTTTGAGTGTTTGAATCTCCCTGATGTACATCCAGTGAGGTCACAGACAATACATGATGTCACCTCAGAGGCAAGGACAGAAATGAAGGCAGGCATGGGGTGAACCAAAAGGGGCTTTATTAAAGAAAATTACAGGCAGGGCAAAAGGAAATGGACCATGAGGGGTCAAAATGAGGTAGGTAGGGCACAGGGCAACTAGGAGCGCAGGCAGGCAGCAACATCAATGATTGGACTGGGGAGCTTGAGACAGGGAGGCACTATATACATCACTGATGAGGGAGCAGACAAGAGGCACCTGGGGTGATCCACACGAGGGCTGTAATGAGAGGCAGAATTAAACAAGTAACAACGGAGAGAACGAGGGAGAAAGGATGCAGGGAGTGACACCTTAATTTTCTAACAAAACTTGTTTTATTAAAAAACAGCATAAGTTAAAATATGAACACTGAGAAACATTTTCTCTGACACAGGACGAAACTAAATTGTGTCTTACCAAACCAATAAAATAACTCAAGATGTCAGCATCACAAAAAATCCAACACTGGACCCTGTGCGACTTCGAATCAGCGGTAAGTATTCCATTGGCGGACATCAATGTTAATAAGGCAGGAAGCTAATCAGCTTCCTTTTTTCTTCTCTGTAGGGGGTGGTGGAGGTCTATTGTACTTTTATTGCATTTTGCAAAAAAATCGCAGTTCCAAAAAAAGAGAGTCTGTGGGTGTCGATCTTACAAGCTGCCAAACCAATACTGCCAAACTACAGCATATATAGATTATTTTCTATGGTAGGCCAAATCTGTGCTTCATGGTGCTAGCAGGAGCCGTTTGTAATGATTATTTTCATGTCCCATGAAAGCTACAGTGGAAGACATTAAATTTTTTGACGTCTGTTTTTTCTTAAAAAAAAAAAAAAAAAGACTTACAGTGTCAGAAAAAGAGTAACAATTTGTACTTTTGCTTGTCACTGGGGTGGTACTCTCAAAGGTCTGCCAATTGTACCCTACAGCTGTAGATAATTGTACCTTTTAAGCTACAGAAATAGACTCTGAGGAATGTACCCCTAATGGTACAAAAATGTTCCTCATAGTACATTTCTATACCTTAACAGGTACAATTACCTACAGCTATATAGTATAATTGGCAGACCCTTCAGGGCACAGCCCCAGTGACAAGCAAAGGTGCAAATTTGTATTCTATTTTTTCTGACAATGTGTTTTGATTTATTTATTTTTTCTTGTTATGGAAGTTGCAGTTTTATTTGCAAGTAAATGGTAAATGGACTGCATTTATATAGCACTTCTCTACTCCTACGAGTACTCAAAGCGCTTTACAATACATGCCTCACATCCATCCATCCACACACACACACATTCACACACCAGTGGTGGAGGCTGCTATGCAAGGAGCCAACCTGCACACCGGGAGCAATTTGGGATTCAGTGTCTTGCTCATTGAACCTGCAACCTTCCAGTTGCTGAACGATAGCACTACCTCCTGTGCCACCATCTTCCCCCAAGTATTCCTGGCATCTGAACATAACTTTACTTCATGTTCCTTTTTTAAAAAAAAAAAGAAAAGAAAAAAAAGGACCGCAAATGAGTTTCTTCTACCCAGATCTGATCTAGGGATTAAGCGGTATAATTTCTGTGCATAAAAAATATACGTTTCTGGTCCTGAGTTAACACGGGCAGTCGTGTGTACTGGTCTACATATGTCATATTCTACAACACAGGTGTCAGACTCCAGTCCTGGGGGGCCGGAGCCCTGCACACTTTTGGGTTTCCCCTCGTTTAACACACCTGATTCAACTTCTTGTGCTAATTACCACATAGCAGCTGAGCTGAATAATTTGTGGTGGAACAGGGAAAGAACTAAGCTACACAGGGCTCCGGCCCTCCAGGACTGCAGTTTGACACCCCTGTTCTACAAAGCGACGGCGGTTTCTAATCTCACTTTCCTGTTTTCATCCGGATAGGAAAGGGTCATTTTCATTTTCCCGCTGAATGTAAGTAGCGCCCTCTACTGGACGCGCTTGACCTGCCAGTCCAAATGCAGCCTCTTTCAATGTGTCTGTCATGTCACCTAATGGAATTTATGAATGTGTGTAAATGGATTAATCTTGTAGGTCGGGTGAAACGGCATGGGTTAACATATTCGGCTTCCTGAGGTTTTGAATCGTTTTTTCTTTTGTTTAGGATTCTATTTAAATTCTTGCTGAAAGTGTGATTATTTTTAAACGTGCCGTTTTTCCTAATGATTTGCATGTGCATTTTTTGCAGCTCTCTTCATATTACGTTATATTGGGTATTTCCTTCTAATCACCCACGCGATTTGTGGAAGGATGCGGGAATAGACTATAGCACCGAAGGTTAGGTCCAGTTTTCCGGTCCCCCATCTTCACCGATGAGACGTGCCTGTTTAAGGCACTGTGAATAATTCCTTGGTCCAGCGGCTTAGTTGCTATGCCAGTCTAATTCAGTTATCTTTGTTCATATTTTTTTTATGGAGCAGACATAGCTGGTCTTTTTCTTTTGTTCTTTGTAGCTAATTTACAGCACTATACATGCAGCTTTCTGCAAATATTGCTCTCTTGTCACGTTAGTTGTCGGGAGTGAATTGGGAAAGGGGGGGAGGAGTGAGTTAGGCGGAGTGAATCGAATAGTTGCAGACTGGCTTTGTGGTGTCTAAGTCGGCGCGTGAGTACACCCCACCCCTCTCTCGCTCTCTCGCCCACCCTGTCCGCTGGTCCTACCCCAAAATGCGCCTATCCTAGGTGCCTCTCTCCTTTTCCCCAGTCCAAAACCAGTTGTAGGGGTATGGATGAGCCTGGGATGCAGCGCCGACCCTGAGCGGAACAAGGGAACGCAAAGGAGGGATGCTGGCTGAGTGCGAAACGATGCACTGATAAATGATTCCGCGGTGCATCTGCCAAAAGGGCTGTAAAAAGTCTTAATCTAAATAAAGGAAAGACACTTTCTCCGCCGTTACCGACATGTTCTGAAGCGAGGGGCTGAATGATGAAGGCGGTGCTGAGGACCAAAAGACGGCGGCAGTTCCGCCGGCTCTGCTGCCTTGGAGCGGGGCTCGTAGCTGTCACCTGGCTCGCACAGCATTTACATGTAACAGGTGCGTTTCTTTTGATTTATTTTCTCCCGGACTCATTTTTGAAACCGGCTAGTCACCTACACTAAATCCTACCCGTGATTTGGTATGCCAGGCATCTGTATTTCGATGGATGTACGTTTTCTTGCATTCGAATAAAGTGGTGGGAAATCCACCGACGCCTACAACAATGCACTGTGGTATAAACGTGACTCCCGGTAATTCGCAGGGTGCAACTGTTGAAATGTTTCCAAATCCTGTCGTCCTCGTTAGAAATGTGCCGTCATACATGTGGAGAATCTACTCCACACCATGTGTGGGATAATGTGCACGAAAAAAATGTCCACTGACAATACTACTATTACTACTGTTAGTAACTGTATATTATAATTGAGTAGTGCCACATACTACTTGCACGAATGTGCAAAATACAACAACATAATAATAATAATAATAATAATAATAATAATCATAATAATAATGCAGAAGTATGCCCGGTTCCTGCTTTTTGGATTTTGTGTGTAATTATCACATGTTGTGATGTACCAGTGCTTTACGTAAGCATGCAATGGGGATGTCCTCTTAATTACGTTGTAGTTGGGGTGTATAGATTTGGTATTGTCTAATAGAGACAGAATTATGTATGGCAGGTTTTAGTTTAAAATGATTTATCAAAAGTAAACAACACATCTGACTTGAGGATTTTGGTATTATATAAAATTTTCATTTAATGGAATGCAGTTAACGTTTGTCTGGATACTCATAAATTTGAACAGATGACTTACCAGCAGAATATTTTCCAGATGTTTCTGGAATATCAGTGCAGGTAAGATTTAATTTAAAATGACCCCACCCATTGACTTACTGGTGCAGACTGTTTGTATGTTGCCAACATACGAAATGAATCCGCGAGGATTGGAAGCACTTTGGTTCCGTGGTGAGTGCGTTTATTCAGGACGTGTGGTACCAGCAGTGATCGCTTGGCGTCTGTCCTGTTTCATAGGTTTATGCTCCGATGCCGTTTCCCTAATCGTTCACCCAACACCCGACATGGCTGCCAGCACATCACCCCTGAACCTCACACTCACAGCCCACATCACCCCTGAACCTCACACTCTCCGCCCACATCACCCCTGAACATCACATTCACAGCCCACATCACCCCTGAACCTCACACTCACAGCCCACATCACCCCTGAACCTCACACTCTCCGCCCACATCACCCCTGAACATCACACTCACAACCCACATCACCTTGAACATCACACTCACAGCCCACATCACCCTGAATATCACACTCACAGCCCACATCACCTTGAACTTCTCACTCTCTGCCCACATCACCCTGAACTTCTCACTCTCTGCCCACATCACCCTGAACCTCACACTCGCAGCCCACATCACCCCTGAACCTCACACTCGCAGCCCACATCACCCCTGAACCTCACACTCGTAGCCCACATCACCCCTGAACCTCACACTCGTAGCCCACATCACCCTGAACCTCACACTCGTAGCCCACATCACCCTGAACCTCACACTCACAGCCCACATCACCCTGAACCTCACACTCACAGCCCACATCACCCTGAACCTCACACTCACAGCCCTCACCATCCCAAACACCCTTCAGTTCCTTTTCCCAGGCAATGATATTGGCTCATACAAGTAGAGGTGCTGTTCCCCCCCAATATCCAGATGTGGTTACAATGTCCTCTCCCCCAAAGCTGACTCCAGGGCTACGATCTTGATTTCATGTACCTTATCACAAGCCCCCACCCACCACCCCTCATCCTTCAAACTTCCTGTTCTCACCTTTTCTATTTGACGTCCCTTTGATCGGCGTGTCAGCCTTGAACCCATTGAATATGGGAACGGATCTCCATTCACTCCTATTATCTGATTGTGACAGTCCCACAATGAAATATTGGATATTATTAGGAAGCCAAGAGCTCATCCGTCAACATTCATAATCACTGGTGCAGAACAGAAGTGTCCTCGGTAAAACAGTTTGAGAATCTGACATAGAGGATGGAAGCTGACTGCAGAATAAGGGGCATTAGTCAAGCTAACACTTAATGTTGTTATAGCATAAGTGTAATTTCCTGAAAACTGCTTGCCTTAACTGGCCTTCTCTGGCCGTGCATCATTATGGATTAGTCCAGTATTCTCGTCATTCGATTAACATGATTTGGGGCTGTCATGTCTGTGCTTTCACGCCCTATCAGAATGTTAGAGGTTAAACACTGACTTTTCATAACTGGTATTTATGCTTCTGGCTTCTAAACAAAACTGGGGCTTTATCCCTCGGTTATGCCGTACTGGGACAAAGGTTAGCATCATGCGGTGACATTCATTTTCAGCCACGTAATGGACATTGCTGCTGAGTAAATGAACTGTATGATTTATATTCCACTAAAGAGCCCACAATAGCTCAGTAGCAGTGATAATAGAATCCAGTTTGCCAAACATTAAAAACTTAACCAGATACAATTCATAAGGAAAAAACAGATTTATGCATGATTTATAAGCTACTCTTCTAACATCTAAGCATAATTATTAAAATGATCAGTGCTTAATGGATGTCTGCTGTATTATTTAATGGCTGAAAATATTTTTTGAAACGCTTTTATTCCTCCACCATTGTAAGATGACATTATTTTGACTTATGATGGAAAATATTCCTCAGCTGGGAGGTTTGGATAAATGCTATTTGAATTGTGCAATTCATTCTGTCAGGAAGGTTAATTAAATACAACCTCAGCTGGAATGGAAAGCGCCACACCCATCTGACTTGCGTCACCTGTATCACAAACTCTAACTGCACAGGCAGACATATATATATATATATATATCATGTATGTGTTCATTTAAAACAACCGGCAAAAGATGCCAGCCAGGATGTTGCTTATGAATGTTCTATGAATGCATTATGAATGAAGGTGCAGTTAATGTAAAGCATTACCTAATTTAGAGATGGTAGTGTGCATGCCTTTGGACTGTGGTCAGAAACGCATGTGATGCAGGGAGACCATGCAAACTCCACACGCTCTGAGCAGAAACGCGTGTGACGCAGAGAGACCATGCAAACTCCACACGCTCTGAGCAGAAACGCGTGTGACGCAGAGAGACCATGCAAACTCCACACGCTC